CACCTGTTTACATTATTAGTAAGGCTTCCAGTCAAAAGTGGGCTATTAGTAGGGATTCAGTCACATAGATTTTTGACTGTGTAGGGATTTGGTACCCCCAACCCTAATGTTGTTCAAAGGTCAATTGTACTTGTCTTTGCCAATATGTTTTATATTTTCATATGTTTTAATGTTACTAATTATGTATCTTTTAACTTCTTCTTGAAATACTCCTTTCAGGGGCACCTGGGTGGCTCAGTTGGTTGAGCATCCAACTTCAGCTCAGCTCATGATCTTGCAGTTGGTGAGTTCAAGCCCGGAGTCAAGCTCTGTGTTGACAGTGTGGAGCCTGCTTGGGATTCTCTCTCTGCCCCTCCCCCACTGTGCTCTCTCTCTAAAATAAATAAATTAAACTTGAAGAAAAAAAGAAATACTCCTTTTAGTATTTCTTGTAGGCAGGTCTACTGGTGATCAACTTCTTCAGCTTCCATTTTTCTGGGAAGATCTTTATCTCACCTTCTTTTCTTTCTTTAAAATTTTTAAATGTTTATTTATTTTTGAGAGAGAGACAGAGTATGAGTAGAGGAGGGGCAGAGAGAGGGAGACACAGAATCTGAAGCAGGCTCCAGGCTCCGAGCTGTCAGCGCAGAGCCCGATGTGGGGCTCGAACTCACTAACCATGAGATTATGACCCAAGTTGGATGCATACCGACTGAGCCACCCAGGCGCCCCTGTCACCTTCTTTTCTAAGGGACACCTATGCTGGGTAATGTATTCTTGCTTGGCAAGTCCTCCCCACTAGAACTTTGAATATATCATCCCATTCTCTTGTGGCTTGCAGAGTTTAAGCTGAAAGTCTGTCATAACCTTATCCAATTTCCCTTATTTGTGAGGAATTTTTTTTACCTTGCTGCTCTTAAAATTTTCTTGACCTTTGATTTTAGGCAGTTTTATTATAATGTATCTTGGAGAACATTTCTTTAGGTTGAAATTTTGGGGGGACTTAGGAGTTTTGTGAACTTAAATGCCTGAATCTCTCCCCAGATTTGGGAAGTTCTCAGCCAATATTTTGTTAAGTAAGCTTTTTGCCCCTTTCTCCCTCTCTTCTCTTTCTGTGACTCTCATGATGCATTCTTTTGTTTTGTTTTGATGGTATCCCATTGTTCACAGGTTAGACTTTTAAGATATTTTTTAAATCTTTATTTATTTTTGAGAGAGAGAGACAGAGAGAGACAGAGCATGAACGGAGGAGAGACAACAGAATCTGAAGCAGGCTCCAGGTTCTGAGCTGTCAGCACAGAGCCCCCAATGTGCAGCTCGAACTCACAGACCACAAAATCATGACCTGAGCCAAAGTCAGACACTCAACTGACTAAGCCACCCCAGTGCCTCAATTTTTAATTTTATTTTAAAGTAATCTCTAGCCCCAAGTGGGGCTTGAACTCATGGCCTCGAGATGAAGAGTTGCACACTCCTCAAACTAAGCCAGCCAGGTGCCCCTCACAGTTTATGCTTTTAAAACTCTTTTGTAGGGGTGTCTGGGTGGCTCATTCAGTTAAGTATCTGACTCTTGGTTTCAGCTCAGGTCATGATCTCACAGTTCATGGGTTCAAACCCCACATCTGCGCTGATGGTGGGGAGCCTGCTTGGGATTCTCTCTCTCCCTCTCTCTCTGCCCGATGCCCAGTTGTGCTTTCTCTCTCTTTCAAAATAAATAAACTAAAAAATTTTTAACTCTTTTTCTTTCTTTTTTCTTCTTTCTCCTCTGATTACATAATTTCCACTGACTTGTCTTCCACTTTACAGAGTTTATCTTCTGCTTGGTCATGTCTAACACTGATGCCCTCTACTGCATTTCTCATTTCATTCTTTCACTTCTTCGGCTCTGGATTTCTGTTTGGCCCTTTATGATTCCCATTTCTCTGTCAGACTTTATACTTTGATAGTGTATTATTTTCCTGAGTTCTCTGAATTGCCCTTCTGTGTTTTCTTGTAGCTCACGGAGCTTCTTTAAAACAACCATTTGAAATTCTTTGTGAGGTAAATAGCAAGTTTCCATTTCTTTGTGGTCAGTTACTCATTGCTAGAAAGTCGTTGTGTTCCACTGGCAGTGTCCTGTTTCCTCGACTCTCTGTGTCCCTTAGTCCTGGTGCTGCTGTCTTTGCATTGGAAGAAGCAGTCACTCCCTCCAGTCTTTATTGACTGGCTTTGGGAAATATCTTCCATCAATCCTGTTAGGGATTCTGAGGCTTTCTTAGATCTTTTCTTTTTTATTATTTTTTAAAAATATTTTTTAAAGTTTATTTATTTTTGAGGGGGGGGCAGAGAGAGGGAGACACAGAATCTGAAACAGGCTCTAGACTCTGAGCTGTCAGCACAGAGCTCGACGCGGGGCTTGAACCCACAAACCATGAGATCATGACCTGAGCTGAAGCTGGATGCTTAACCGACTGAGCCACCCAGGAGCCCCTTGGATACTGCAAAGGCAGGCCAGGTACTGACAGCCTCCCATTTGCTTTCCCTGGGCAGTGCTGAATGCCGAGTGTGTGTGCTTTCTACCCATGGGCAGAGCGGGATCAGTGCCCTCTAGCTGCATACAAAGCGAGCGTGAGCTGGCTGCCCCCTGGGGCGTGCACCGGGATGAGTGTCAGTGTGGGGGGGATGGGGTTGAGATACACTGAGCACTGGAGGTGCCTGTGGCCCATTTGAAGGGATCTACAGGTGAGTCGTCCCTTGTAGCTCAGGTGAGTCATCCCTTGTAGCTCATGGGTGGGCTTCCTGGTGGTGTCTGCAGAGGGATTAGTAGGATCTGTAGCACTTTTATGCCCTCAAGACCCTAACTGCTCTTCTCCCAGCCTCTTCCCATCCCCCAGTCAAGCAGCACATCTCAGCTTTCCGGATACAGTGATGAAGAGGTTAATCTCTTTGGCACCATTCCACACAGCTTGGTGAAGTCAGGTGCTTACTCAACAACAGGCTCTTGCCTTCCCCGTGGGAGAAACCACAGGCTGAGATGGTCTCTCCGGGCGCTCAGCTGTGCTGCCTTGGGAGAGGGGTAATGAGCATCGGGTAAAATGGTTCCTCTTACCCTTTCCAATGTGGCCAGTCTTAACCAACCTTCCTTCCTTCTCTCTCTCTTTCTTTCTCCTCCATTGGTGTGTTAGGACTTCTCTGTTGGGCCCCGGACTTCTACAAAGGCACTCCTGTTTGTGGGGGGTTATGACTTTGTTAAATTAACAGTTGTTAAGCAGAGCATGGAGGGCCCGCTAGCTAGTGGGCCGTGGCTCAATAGAAGACCACAAAAGAAATTGAAATAAATAATTTGTTACAGGTTCTAGAAGAAGTACATGGCAAGACTCAAGGGGCCACATGAGGTGGTCAAGGCAGGATGTGGGCGGAGAGAGAGAGAGAGAGGCGGGACTCTGGGCACATGCCTTTATTTAGGTCTGTGAGTGGAGTGTTTTGAGGTTCCTGGGCTAAGGCCAGGTTGGGCGATTTAAACCAATTTTAGTATATGTGCTGCCGAAGTGAGCACTGGGCGATTTAAACCAAAAAGGGCAACGTTTTGGTAAGGTCCGCTGGAGTCTTATCTAAGGGCACACAGCGGAAAGCCCTGGGGGGTAGGGGAGACTCTTGACCTTAAGGGCTATTAGGTAAGTCAGGAACTTAGATTTACTTCTGACTCAGTGGGCTTTTATGTGGGGCATGCACTTGCAAGGGAGAACGGGGGAGAGTGTCAGTTTAAGGTTCCCTGCAGGCTACTTGGCCAAACAAAATGGATTCTGAGGCACCAATTCCATGGAGTAGCCGAGCTAAACTCTTGAACGACGGGTGATTGTCAAAGTCAGTGCTCTTTGAGGGGAAGATGGCAGAAAACTTCTATTTCACCATTTTTTTAATTTTATTTTATTTTATTTCTAGGAGTGAGAGAGAGACAGCATGAGCAGGGGAGGGTCAGAGAGAGAGGGAGACACAGACTCTGAAACAGGCTCCAGGCTCTGAGCTGGCAGTCAGCACAGAGCCCGACACGGGGCTCGAACCCACGAACCGCGAGATCATGACCTAAGCGAAAGTCAGACGCTTAACCGACTAAGCCACCCAGGCGCCCCGTATTTCACCATTTTGATGGCACCACGGTTACTTCAGGTGACTTCAGGCAAATCAGAAATCCTCTTGCCCAAGGGCTGGACACAGGACAATGGAGCGATCTCTCTCAGGCCTTATCTCTAAGGGTGAAGGCTGTGAGCCTTACTAGACCTTTCTACTCTGCTCTTGCAAGAATGAAGACTCTTTCCCACATGTCATGAGCAACTTGAAGCCTAATGAACTCAGTAGCTAGTTGCCCAATAGACCTGCTGGTGCCTGTCGTATCTCTTAAGTTAGGAGGCTGGGCAGAAGTACACGCGAGTCCGATACATGCTGGAAAGTCTTCTCTGGAAAAGTTAGTCTGAAGAGCGTATTGCTTTTGCAACAGAATCCCATGGATATTTAATAGCAAAAGAGGTCTCACAGAGCAAGCAAAGAATCATGGGTACCTATGGCACATGGCACCTCCCTGAGCTGATCGACTAACACATATCAGCAAGGGTGGTGAGTCGGGATGGAGGGACCGAAGGACAAGGGAGCAATGACTGAGATCTTGGGCAGACGTTAAAGTGGAGCGCGTTGGGAAGACCGGGCGGTAGCCACAGCCTCTCCAAGGCGGGAACCCCAGGCTCTTCGTTGCACAGACTCTGGTGCCTGCCCCAGCCTTCCTTTCCAAGCTGCCTCAGTGGAAATTCATTTTCTTCAATGTCTTTCTCAATGAGGAAACATCTTTCTGCTGTAAAGAAGGAGGAACCGATAAATTATGAAGCACAGATGAGGAGATAAATGATACGATTTGAGTCACTGATGGAGATTAAGTGGGGGGGGGGAGCGTCTTCAAAAAGAATGGCCTACACACCCAAATTCCCTTTCTCTCTCTCCCTCCTTTCTCTCTTTTCACCCCGCACGCTTTTCCTCAGGCAGGGGCAAGGTCCTTACCTGGCACCGTCCCCAGACATGGGGGAGGAATAGCACCGAGACTTCACACCCAGAATCTTCAATTTCACAACATACTTCTTGGAGTCAAAGGACTCTGGGCAGCAGAGCTCAAAGCAGGCCCAGAAGGTGCAACTAGGGCCACAGAGGTTGGTCTGATTCAGGGGCAGGATGGTGTCGTCATTACAACACTGCTCCAAAGGATTGTAGATCTTGTCCCCACACCTGGGCGCCTGCTGGCGCAGCCACACCTCTGGGCCAGTGGGGGTATCTGGACAGAGACTGACGGTGTGGGCCCAAGGAGGTCCAGGCACTAATTCCCCCCGTCAGGAGCCCTCTGCGAACCATGACCCCGCTTCCCAACGGAAGCCTGGTCTCTCTACATTCTCCCCCAACCTTGTACTCACCTCTGACAGTCTTTGAAGACTGGAGGAGAAGGAAGACTAATCCACACACAGGAGCTGGAGGAGAGGGAAGGGAGGTTGAGGATGAGCTGAAGTGCGGCCATGGGGCTGACTGACCTCAGGGAGGGCAGGCCAGTGTGGGGAAGGCTTAGTTCCAGATTTGCTCTCCAGGCTTGGGTTTGGGGCCATCTCTGCGTAGGCTCTAGTTGCTGATGCGTGTGAGATTCTAGACCGCTGGGTCAGAGCAGCCTGGACCCTTTAACGGGGAGCGAATGCAGGAAAAACTCTCGGGATGCCAGAGCTTAGGGTTCCAAGAATGCAGTGAAGTTTCCCAGTTGGGGGAGGGGGTGGGGCAGGTGTTAAAGATAATCCGGAGGATGAAAAGGAAGAGGAAGGAAGCTGAGGTAAGATGGACAAGGAGAGAATTTGGACGCAGGGCTGCTTTGGTAATACAGCTGGGCTTGAATGGCTCTTGTGCTTGGAGCTCCCCTTACCTGTGCTGCGACTTCCTGGCCCCCATGAGTATGGGTGGGGTTGGAGAGATGCAGGAAATAGGAAAGAACGGATGGGACATGAAGGGTTTTTATAAATGCAGTCACATGACCAGGTTCGTGCTTCACCAAGTTCACGTACCCCACATTTGTCCTTATCGTGAAACCATGTAGAAGTGGATAACCATGAGATCATATGGAGAAAACAGTAGGCAAAGGCCTGGCTTCATCTCCTATGACTGGCAAATGGAAAGTGTCCTGTTACTGCATCGCCTGAGCCCCCACCTTCTGGGCTGCTGCACACCCGATAGTGAACGCAGCACCCGTGTCTCTGCCATGTGGATGGCGGCTCCAGCCTGCTGCCGGCCTTCAGCCCTACTGGGCATTCTCAGTTAACGGGCCAGCGGAGAGGATGGCTTCTCCATGTGTGTTAAGCTTCCTCTCCTACAAAACACCTGCCATTTCTATATTGCCCAGGTAACTTATCCTCAGAAGTTTCAAGAGATTCTGTCCCAAACCACTTTGTTTACTCTCTGGGGAGCTGTCTGGAACCATCCTCGCAGCTGTCACACGAACTAGCCGACGGGCACAGGCTCCATAAACTCTAGGAAGGGAACCAGAGGAGAGTGACAGTTTGCCGACTCCCCCCCAACCCCCCATGGGGTTGTTGTGAGGATCCAGAGAGCAAATGGCTCAACAGGGCAGATCATAATAATGTTAGCAGTAACAGACGGTATGTGAGGTGGTACTTGAGCGTGCAGCCCAGGTAGAGGGAAGCTCAGGGTAAACTGAGGTCTTTGGATCTGGATGCTCTCGATGGGCCCCACCTCATTTGTCTAAAGTGCTTTTAAAAAAAATGTTTACTTATTTATTTTAAGAGAGAGAGAGAGAAGAGTGTGAGTGGGGAGGGGCAGAGAGAGAGGGAAAGAAAGTAGCCTAAGCAGGCTCCACGCTATCAGTGCAGAGTCCCACGCTGTGCTTAAACTCATGAACCATGAGATCATGACCAGAGCCTAAGCCAGGAGTCAGACACTTAACCAGCTGAGCCACCCAGGTGCCCCTAATGTGCTTCTGAAATGACCCAGTACTAGAGGGGACATTACCAACCAAAGTCAGTTTGCAGGATACGAGCAAAACTGAGGAAGAAGGGACCTTTACTAGATATGATCTGCTTATAAAAATTCAGGGAAGGATCTGAAAACCCTTTATGATAATAGTCATTTCTGAGATTACCATTTATCTATTGGTAAAGTAATACCAGTGGCTTGTTGTCTTGTCTTATGTCCCTTTAAATTTCACTTTAAAAATTGGGGCTCCTGGGGCTCCTGGGTGACTCAGTTGATTAGGAGTCTGACTTCATCTCAGAGTCTGGCCTGCTTTGGATTCTGTGCCTCCCTCTCTCTCTGCCCCTCCCCTACTTGCGCTCTGTCTCTTCCCCTCCTCGCACTCTGTCTCTCCTCCTCTCTTGAGAGAGTAAACAAACAAACAAACAAAAACTTGAAAAGAAATTTTACTTAAAAAATGTAAAATCCTCAATACTTTTTTCCCTTGGAATTTTTCTGCCTTCTGGACTTTTTTTTTTTAAGTGTTTTAAAAATATTGGCATGATAGTCCAATTCTTTACCAGTGGCTTAGTCATGACACAGTTATTGACACTGAAATTTAGCCACTATTAGTAATGCGTAGATGGAGAAATATGTTTGGGTATTCTCTTGTGAAATCCAAGCTGTAGGAGTAGGGGTTGGAGCCGCTGTATGGTAGGAACTAATCCTGTTGCATCACACGTGTGATTACTAATCACTTTTCTTCCCTTTTACAATGCAAGTAAAGATTTTGAGTTCTAAACAAATAAACAAAAAAGATAATAGATAATTCAGCAATAGCTGGAGACTTCAACACCCCATTTTCAATAATAGAACAAAACAGCATGTAGATGGTCATCAAGAATATAGAATACTTGCTGGCACCTGAGTGGCTCAGTCCGTTGAGTGTCCGACTCTTGATTTCAGCTCAGGGTCATGGGATCGAGCCCTACATGGGCCTCAGAACTGAACATGGAGTCTTATTGAGATTCTCCCTCTCTCTTTCTTTCTCTCTCTTTCTCCTTCTGCCACCCTCCCCAACTCCTGCTCTCTCTCTCAAAAAAAAAAAAGAATATAGAATTAAACCTAACGAATATCTGTAGAACACTTCAAAAATAGCAAAATACACATTTTTTCAAGTATACACGTAACATTCTACAAGATCTACCATATTCTAAGCCATAAAAAAAGCCTCAATAATGTAAAGGATTGAAATCATACCAAATATGTTCTCTGACCACAATGGAATTTAATGAGAAGTAAATAACAGAAGGAAATTTGGGAGACTCACAAATATGCAGCAATATAAGAGCCAGTTCCTAAGTAAAATAACCAGTGGGTCAAGAAAAACTAAAGTCACAAAGGAAATTCAAAAATAATTTGAGACAAATGAAAACAAAAATGCCATGTATCAAAACATACGGCATACAGCTTACAGCAGTGATAAAGCAGAGAACTTTATAGACATAAATGCCTATGTGATAAGAGAAGAAAGATCTCAAAGCAATAATTCAGTCTTCTGACTGCAAAATTAAGAGCCAACAAACCCAGAGAAGCAGAACCAAGGAAACAGTGACGAGACCAAGGAAAGTAAATGAAATGGAGAATAGAAAAAACAACACAGGAAATCAATAAAGTTCAACATGTGTTCTTTGAAAAGATGAACAGAGTCGATGAAACTTTAGCTAAATGACCAAGAAAAAAAGCATCCTTAAATTCATGCCAATCGTTCATAAACTTCAAAAAAGAATGTTGGGTTTTTTTGTTTTTTTTTTTTGAGACAGAGACACAGAGCATGAGCAGTGGAGGGACAGAGAGACAAAGAGACACAGAATTCAAAGCAGGCTCCAGGCTCTGAGCTATCAGCACAGAACCTGACTCAGGGCTCGAACTCATGAGCCATGAGATCATGACCTGAGCCCAAGTTGGATGCTTAACTGACTGAGCCATTCAGGTGCCCCATAAACTTCAAAAAGTAAAACAATAAAAATAAACTGAACTTTCCAACTCAGTTTATGAGGCTAATATTACCCTAATATCAAAACCAGACAAAGACATCAAAAGAAAAGAAACCTATTGACCAGCATCTCTTATGAATATAATTTAAGAAATTATCAAGAAAAAATACTAGCAAACAAAATCCAACAGCTTATATAAAGGATTCTACACCATGACCAAGTGGGATTTATCCCAGGAAGGCAAGGTTGGTTCAACATATGAAAATCAATCAATGTAATAAACCTTATTAGTAGAATATGGGTGGAGGGAAACATGATTATCTCAAATGATACAGAAAAGGCATTTGACAAAATTTTTACTTTTCTGTGATTAACACAGTAACAACAACAAAGAACAAACTGGGAATCCAGAGAGCTTCCTCAACCTGATCTACGAGAAAACCCACAGCTTACTGTACCTAATGGCAAAAGACTGCATGTACCTCTTCCCAACATCCGGAACAGGACAACTATATTCATCCTCACCACTCCATTTAACATTGCACTGGAAGTTCAAGCCAGAGAAATTAGGCAAGAAAGAGAAAAAAAACATTCAAATTGGAAAAGAAGATACAAAACTATTTCTGTTTTCAAGTGCCATGATCATCTTGTACATTAAAAATGCTTAAGGAAGCTACTAAGGCCACTATAGAATGAACAGATGAATTAAGCAAGGTGGCAAATGCAAGACCAACATATAAAAGCCCATTATACACACTAGCAAAAAGCCATCCGAAACTGAAATTAAGAAGATAATTCTACTTACAGGAGTGCCTGGGTGGCTCAGTCGGTTAAGCATCCGATGTTGGCCCAGGTCGTGATTTCATGGTCCATGAGTTCGAGTTTTGTGCTGGGCTCTGTGCTGACAGCTTGGAGCCTGGAGCCTGCTTCAGATTCTGTGTCTCCCTCTCTCTATGCCCCTCTCCTGCTCACACTCTGTGTGTCTCTCTCAAAAATAAATAAACATTAAAATTTTTTTTAAAAAGAAAAGATTTCTACTTACAATAGTACCAACGATAATAAAATGCTTGTTAATTTAACAGGAGAAATGCAGAATGAGCACACTGAAAACACAACTGTTTAAAAAATTTCAAGAACATGTAAATAAATCGAGCTACATAAATATTCCTAAGTTGAAAAACGTAATATTTTTAAGATGCCAGTGCTCCCGAAGTGACCTATAAATTCAACGCCATTCCTATCAAAATGCTAGCTGGTTTCTATGCAGAAATGCAAGAAATGCTGGTTTCTATGCAAGCTGATTCTAAAATCCATCCTGAAACGCAAGGGACCCAGAATAGCCAAAGCAAAGAACAAAAGTGTTGAACTGACACTCCATCATTTCAAACCTTACTCCAAAGCTATACTAGTTAATTCCGTGTGGTGCTGACCTGAGGAACTTCCGTGTAGATCAATGGGCTGAATTGACAGTCGAGAAATAAACCGGTATAATTACGGTCAATTAAATTCCAACAAAAGTGCTATGACAATGAACTAGGGAAAAGAATAATCTTTTCAACAAACAGGGCTGGGAAGACTGGGTGTCTGTATGCAAAAGAGAATAAGAAGGACACAGAGAAGGAGAGAAAGAAGGATCCCTCCCATACCATACACAGAGAGTCACTTCAAATTGATCATAGACCTAAATATAAGAGTTAACGCCATAAAACCCTTAGCAGAAAGCAGTGGAGTAAATCTTAATGACCTTGGTTTAGGCAATGTGTTCTTGGCTATGACATCAAAAGCGCAAGAGACCAAGAAAAAAATAGAGTTTGTCAAAATGAAAACGTATGTGCTGCACACAAAAATATCAAGTGAAAAGACATAATGGGAGAAAGTTTTTGCAACTCCCATATATGCTAAGGGAGAAGTATCCAGAATACGTTGAAAAACTCTTACAGCCAATTAATAAAAAGATACCCCAGTTTAAAAGTGGAAAATGTATCTTAATAGACACGTTTCCGAAAAGGATATACGGACAGCCAGTCAGCATCTGAAGAGATGCCCATCAATGCAAACTAAAACCACAAGATATCCCTTTTCATCCACTAGGGTGGCTGTAATAAAAAGAAGAGTGGAAAATCACAAGGATCGGGAAGGAGGTGGAGAAATCGAAATGCCCGTACGTTGCTGATGGGAATATACAATGGTTTAGCAGCTGTGGAAAAGTTTGACAGCTCCTCAAAGAGTTGAACATAGAATTAACATCTGACCCAGAAATTCTCCTCCTAGGTATATGCCCTGAAGACATGAGAACAGGAACTCAAATACACGTATACACATGTTCATAACAGTCCTAATCACAGTAGCCAAAAGATGGGAACAGTCCAAATGTCCATTAACAGATGCATGGATAAACAAATTGTGGTATATGGGGTGCCTGGGTGGCTTAGTCGGTTAAGCGTCCGACTTTCGCTTAGGTCACGATCCCGCGGTTCGTGGGTTCGAGCCCTGCGTCGGGCTCTGTTCTGACTGC